GGATGAGGTTGGAAAGCCCTAATTCAATATTTTGAATAAAATGTTATATGAAGGCTGGTAGTTTCTGCTGCAAAACGTTTCCAATATCAAACAGTATGTTGTCAAGGTTGAATAGCTCAATATATGACAACAACAGAAATGTAAATCATTAGACACTACAAGTGATTTTGACGAAATTGTGGAAATAGCTGATCTCGCCTTATTATAGGTTTTTATTTAATTTTTAGCGCCGAGCTCTTAAAAGCGAATTGTGCCATTAATCAATTAATATGAGTTATAATAAATTTAATAATTGCGCAAAATGTGTTGAAACAAATATTTTAAAAAAGTATGCGTAATTTTAAAGAAAATTGTTTGTACATCACTATTACATAAGTGATTTGTGTTATTTATTATTACCCTCTGAAGGTATTACAGTATATTTTGCTTAGCTGCTCATCCTTCTTTGCACGAAAAACTTGTGCACGTAACCGAAAAAGGCACTTAAGTGAATTTTCTTTACTACTTCAATGAGGAAGGTATCCGAATCCCTATGAAACCAAATATTGGCGGAGCACTTACCATGTAGAAATTACTGCAAGCGAAATTTTTACCAAATGTTATCTAATTATGTATATAACTACATAAATTGATAGCCATTTTCGTTGTTCTGCGAGATGAGCAAAATAAATAAAAGGTTGTAAAATTAGGTAATTGTAGGGCCAGTGCAGGTAAACGTAATACTTTCATTGATACAGTATATTTTGCTTAGCTGCACATCCTTCTTTCCACGAAAAACTTGTGCACGTAACCGAAAAAGGCACTTAAGCGAATTTTCTTTACTACTTCAATGAGGAAGGTATCCGAAACCCTATGAAACCAAATATTGGCGGAGCACTTACCATGTAGAAATTACTGCAAGCGAAATTTTTACCGATTGTTATCTAATTATCTATATAACTACATAAATTGATAGCCATTTTCGTTGTTCTGCGAGATGAGCAAAATAAATAAAAGGTTGTCAAATTAGGTAATTGTAGGGCCAGTGCAGGTAAACGTAATACTTTCATTGATAATTGATACTAGTTGCACAATTTTTAAGGCAGGTATCGCCAATGCGCAGGTAGGTTGAATGCATCTATCGGAGCAGTTTCCTTATAAATGTTAAAAATAATGCTTTTGATGCGCATTTTGGGGTAGGTATCTTAAATGTGCACTTAAGCATAGAGGCAGCAAAGCAAAATATACTGTAATTGATACTAGTTGCACTATTTTTAAGGCAGGTATCGCCAATGTGCAGGTATGTTGAATGCATCTATCGGAGCAGTTTCCTTATAAATGTTAAAAATAACGCTTTTGATGCGCATTTTGGGGTAGGTATCTTAAATGTGCACTTAAGCATAGAGGCAGCAAAGCAAAATATACTGTATATTCGTTTTTGGTTTTAAAAACTATATTATAACAAGATCTAATTTTTTAAATAAAAGAATGGTTAAATCGATTTCATTAATTAAAAAAAAAAATTGGCGATTTTTTTTCTGGAACTGCGCTTTTTTTAAACCATCTGGGCACCCTGACTGACGGCATCAACACAACGAAATGCGAAGTTGATTCAAGCTCAAAATATGAAAGCAAATTTACATGCATGGCTGTAGCTCAGTGTGCAAGGATGCTTGATACAATTGGTTTGCTACCAAGGCTGTCCGGGTTCAATCCCCATCAAACGGAGCATGAAATTTAAGTTTTTTTTTTTCTTAATTATGAAAATGTTTGGGTATAAAATGTAAACCAACCTGTTTAAATTCTAAACCCAACATATGTGCTCTCTTTTTTTAGACCTGGAACTGAATTTAGTTTCGTCATATATGTAGTCCAGAAAGTTTAAAAGTAAAACCGAAATATTTAACCGTGCATTCATAAGATAACTTATAACTAGTAGTATATATTTTGATCGGAGTATTGATATTTTAAGTGTTTAACCATGCTACATTTTCATACACACATAATTATTTACTTATGTATGTTCAACGTATGTATCAAACATACGCCGAGAGACATTTATATAAATGTAACACTAAATTAAATAAAGTTTAGTACTATTGTAAACATAATATTTCTGTATCCTAATTTTAGCTTAAAGTTATAAAAACAATATTATTCTTAAAACAAGTTATTATCTTTTAGTTTGTTTCTTCATTAAATAATTCTTTACATCTTTAATAATAATAAATCCTTCTTTATTTGTACATCATAATCAGGCCGGGCGGCGCCGACACGAAGTTGAAGGTGAAAATAAAGCCAAAATTAGTTCTGTTTTCGTATTCTCTAATATTTACTCCCAATGAGTGAAATATGCAAGAAAGTACGAAAACGCAAAACCAGCAAGAAGTTGCTAGTTTTATGAACAGTTGATTAATTTGTTATTTTCCGAAGCAATTTTCTTAGAAAACTGGTGTTTTCCATCTTATTATATATTTAAATAGGTTTATTTTGTCAATTGCAACTCTAAAAGCAACACAAACAATTATTTTCTTAATGTGATTTACAATAAGCATCATGCCATCAGCTGTTTTTCTTACTAGCTAATAGTTGCTAGTAAAAATTTATCCAGAAAAAATCCAGTAAAACTTGCAAGTTCACCTGTTATTTTTGCTCTCTCAATTTCCCCTCTTTTGCTAGTTTCTTGCAAGTTTTTGCGTACGAAAACGACATCCAGTAAAAAAACAGTAAAATTAGTACTGGATTTACTGGATAGTGCGTACGCGAACAGGGCTATTAATTACTGATTCATAATAGTTGTGTTTTCGTATTTTCCAGTAAAAAATATCCAGTAACTTGCCAGTAACCAAATTTCGGAGAGTAAGCCAATATTTACTCCCAATGAGTGAAACATGCAAGAAAGTACGAAAACGCAAAACCAGCAAGAAGTGGCTAGTTTTATGAACAGCTGATTAATTTGTTATTTTCCGATGCAATTTTCTTAGAAAACTAGTGTTTTCCATCTTATTATATATTTAAATAGGTTTATTTTGTCAATT